CGAAAATATACATTAGTATATCTTGAAAAGAGCCACACTTGATGATCAACTCTTTTCATTTGTACCTATATATAAATCCTATATATGCATAAGCATAACTAAGCTACATGTTTAGAGATTATTGAGTTTTGGATTCAAGAGACTATAAATCATATTATACGTACATAGAAAGCAACCACAACACCAGAGGCAAATCCAGCGGGAAGCTTGAGTCTTGCACTGAAGAAACCATAGTGATACTTGTTCTTTGATACCAACCCAGCTCCTGCAAATATGTCGATATTATATATATAAGTCTTCACATACATATATATAAGTTTTGTGGATAATATACAGAAATAAATCATCAAAAAGAAATGTAAGTTTGACATATCCTTAACAATAAAAGACTTAAGTATGCAATCATACTTTTCAAAATGTTAACCTTTTGGAGAATGCAAATCGACCATTTATTTGTCTATATGTGTTAAAAAGTATATATATGTGAAAGTAACTGACTTGCCTAAAACAATTAACTATGTTTTCATATATATATATTTAGTTAGGAGTTTATCAAAAATATATATATCATCAGAAAACAGAGGAAACAAAAACAGAACAGAACAGTGTAGATTTTTATTACCGGAGGATTTGTCGAGAGTGAGCTTAGCGAGGGAGCCATTGACCTGAATATTATGAGCTCCGAAGCGTCTGACGAAGCCATTTTCAATGGCGATCTTAGTGAATTGATCTGTGAGTCGTGTCACGTTTGGTGTTGTGAATTTCCTGCTGTGTGAAGAAACCAAAGACAATGAACAGAGACAAAACACAACTGCTGTTTCCCACATAATCTTCATTTTGTACTTCTTCAAAGACGCCATTTTCGTTTGTGTTTGATACTTTTGATTACTGATTAATTAGTTTGTGCATATTATTTATGTGTGTCAGACAGTGTGTATATATAGAGGTAGTGTGGGGCAGTGGGAGGGGTCATTTGGGTATTTTGTAAAATGAGTTGTACACAAGCTGGCTCTTCTTAGTTCTTACCTCTGCTCTGATTGTTATTCGTTAGAAAAGAATCCACCATCATGGATTTTTTTGTCTTGTTTACTGAAGAATGTTCGTAAATAAATGTCTTAATCTATTTAAAATGTTAAGAAAACATATATACGTATAAAAAAATGCATGTGACTGACGTTGGCTCCGTTTAAGAATTCCCAAGTGTGTAAATTTTCGATTTTCATAATCACCATTCGCGTTCAGAATCAAATCAAATTTCAGAAAATTTATTATTATAGGATCATAATGACAAAAAGAAAACATTGAATTAATGTTGCAACAGCACATGTCAGACTAACACACAATTTCGTTCAGGTTTAAGACCGTTTGAGACATATGCATGTGGGCAATTCTATTTACCCTTTCATTGAATTAGAATGCAGTTGTTATGTTTGATTTGATACAATTAAATTGAGTATTTGCTTGATTAACTAAACTTATAAGATTAAACATTTATTTTATAAACACACACACACACACACACACGTTAACGTGTATAAACGACTTGAAGATGAAGTGGGCATGGTAATGCTATACCATGCTTTGACTTCTCCTTTCATCTTTTGCCATGTTTGGTTTTATCTTATTTTCTATAAGAATAATAGTTTTGAATTTGATATACCTTTTGTCATTCTTATTAATTGCATCAGAAACACACCGACTGTATTTTTGGAATTATTTGATGAGTATTCTAAACACTACGAAATTTGAAAACTACATTCATCTTTTAAAATTTTGACATATCTAACTAATATTTTCTTATGAAAATTCTATATTTTAAATAATTAATTTTCAAATAAATAAATGATTAAGCTGAAAATAATACTTTAAATATAACACTATATCTTTGTTAATAAAAATGTTAAAATAATTATATTTTTGTTTAATAAACTGAAAAAAAAAAGAGAGAGGAAAAAGGACAAGAGAGTTTATATATGATGTAAACATAAACAAGTTGACATGAAAATTCAATACAGCAACACTCAGGCTGGCAATTTACAGATGGTTCATCATATCAAACCTTAACCAACCAATCAAATCGGCATTTTCAGCTTTCATTTATATAATTGATAATTATGTCTTATTATTTTTTGTTCTCTTCTTGATTTTATTCTTATTATCATTGTTATTTTGAGTATAATTTAAATTCGGCGCAACATCACGTATCCTCTCATCTTGATCATGTCACCCTAACAAACTCCAAAACACACAATCATACGTTTATATATCCGTATATAAAGATTACGAGATCTATACTATTATTTGAAATTAATTACTTAGATCTTCTTAACTTAATTGGACCGGTATATGCGTTTGCGAGTATAATCGTACTGTTAATCTGATGTCCTTGAGAATTTTATTTTGTCAACATGCAAACATTGTATAGGAGTTTAACAGGTAACTAATGTGAGTATATGACACTGCACAAGTCTTTGTAGAAACTAAAGTTTAATGGGTCTTAACTTCTTAATTGTCACTCGAAAAAAGAAAACTAGGTGTAGGTATAAAACTCTGTTGTTTTTAATGTGGAAGCGAACAAAATTTTAACTTTTTGGTATTGTTGCTTGGTTCATGATGGTGGATGCAAGACCCTAGCTAGTCCTGAACTCCTGATAAAGGACGATCAACGAAAATTTTGTGTTTAGATAATATCTTTTTAAATCGACAAAGTTGGTTTGCCTTTGCCGTGAGAAAAACGATCATGTGGGCTTAAGGGCCAATGAGGATGGGCCAAGTGTATGTGATGGGCGGAGAGAAGGATCAAAAGAGTGTTGTCTCAACATTTTAGTGTACGTTTTCTTGCAAAAATCTAAATAACTATAACATTAACTTAGAGGACGAGATGTCTGATGAGGCGTGACTTTGTTACACAGTATTGTTGTTCATAAATCATAATCAAATAATGACTAAAGCACTGAAAGAAAAATCTTGATTGAGATATTGCTGTAATTCTATTATTGGAATTCTTAAGATTGTAGGACAAAAGCAACTAAAAAGACAGAAAACGGCTAAACATTAAACGATCAACATAACTATGCTAATTAAAAGTTTACTTGGTGGTAGGAGGAAGTGCGCCTGCAAGTCGTGAACATTGCTCTTTCAACATAGGAGGAAAAAATGGATTAAATGGAACTTTAGGCATGCAATTGGCTTCAGCTTCCAAAAATGCTTTGCAACAAGCGGGACCAATGTTGCCAAACCGTCCACTCAAGATTGCTTGAGAAATTTCAGTGATGCATCCAGGAATATTCATCACCGATGACCAACATTTTGTAATATCGGGTAATCCAGGCATGCCAGGAGTGGGTTGGAATGGAAAAGGAAAAGGAAACTGTGGTAATTGAGCATTTGTAGAGACTACAACACATAAGACCACTAGAAGAAGAAGAACATTCTTGAGAGACATAATGAGAAAACTTGTAGTTGAAAATGTATTTTTATGTGAAGTTTGTTAATTTTTGATTGATGAAGAATAACAAGATCACTGCCCCTTTATTTATACGAAAAGAAACGATGCTATGGTATTAATGATCATGATCAAAACATCTTTGAGTTTTTCTAACGTATTTGATTAGCCGTTTCCAAATCAAAACCTGCGATGGCCGACATTAATTAAGCAATAAACGGCCGATAACTAAGCCGGTACATCTCAATTAGATCTGTTTATAATCTTTCGATTTGCTTCTTGCTATAAATGGATTAAATGAAATTTCGTGATGGGACAGCCAGGACAAAATGGCAAGAAATTATGATATTCCCATGCATGATAATTCCAATTAAAATGCTCAAATTTAGTTTTCCTCTAAATGAATAAAAACATGAAAGCGGGTCCATAAATCATCAAACCGTTGACTTTGCCTCTGAATAATTGGTTCTTGCAATTTTTAAAAATGGTCCACTAATAACGCAACCGGCCATTGTTCCCGAATATTATAAAAACTCCTTCTCACAATTGACAATACTAACTGATGAGTTAAAGAGTACATGGAAATATCCTTCTTTAAAGCATATCAGGTAACAAACCTAATAAGATTCTAAAATAAAATATGATATTTTCGCAATAATCAACCAGATATGAAGGTGGAGAAGCTTCCACAGACCACCACAGTTTTTGGATAATCCCAAAATGATGATTAATGGTTATCTTTGCACAAGGACTACGAACAAGATTGTCTTCTACAATTCAAAGAAGGACAGAAAAATCGTTTCTCATGTGTTTTACATATATCTCCATTGTGATGAATTACCCACCCATTGAGCATCAGCGCCAATATCTCTATGTGCCCATTCTAAACACATTTCCAAAATTAGCTCGTAAAATCCTACAGTTTTGTGAAATGATATGATTATAGACAAATGTATGGATTCAAAGAACATAATAAATTCGATTGGTAACATAAGCGAAAGAAGAATCATGTTTTTCCGTAAGTTTCTTTTGATTATGAGTGATTATTTGTGGAAGGCTATAGATATGGCTAAGCAACCCAAGAAAATTTAACAAAGCAAATTGGACTATTATGATCACAAATCCCAAAAATCATATTCATGTTAACAAAACTCTCCATTTTGTAATAACAAAATCCATACAATTACTCAGATAACATAGTATCGGTTCCTGTAAGTCAAAAAATTTAATCACTTCTACCGAGAAAAAATAAAGAATTTATGAAATAAACGAATAAATAAAAATTGGAAGGAGGAAATATCCTATCCAAAGTCCTCACACATGGGTCGTACCAAATGTCGGCAGACTCCATGCACGTAACTTCATGACCACATGGATCCTCACATACTCCACTACAATCTACGAAGCAACCTCTTCCTCGTTTTCGACGGATCTCACGTGGCACACTGTCAGTGGTCAGGGTTTCCAAGTAAACATTAACCAATGAGATATCGGCACGTCTCAAAAGTTGAAACCTTTGTCAACTCTTTATATATTTCCCACCTTCCATGTCGCCGTGTTACTCGAAACAAACACAAACACAAACATACAAAAACAAACTTTGATCTAAAAGTCATAGCAGCATGATCCATACTAAAACCGGGTCTGGTCGTCGGATCTTGACCTTTCCGGCTGTGCAACCATGCGAATCAATCTCCATAGTCACTTTACTCGACTCACTTATTCAACTAGCCGGCGACATTCTCACATTTAAGTCTAAACACTTCTCCACCAATAAACAAAGCTTCAGAGATACTCTTAGGCGGATTCAAAACCTAGTTCTTGTCTTCGAAGAGATCCGGATCCGGGTCGGAAATTCGAGACGCTACTTCCACGACTCTGCCGCCGTGTCGAGCCTCAAGGAGATCCACGTCAGCTTCCAAAAGCTCAAGTTCCTTCTAGAAGACTGCACAAGAGACGGAGCTAGACTATGCATGATGATGAACTCGGACCAAGTCTCGGATCATCTCCGGGTCTTGACTCGATCCATTTCCACCAGCCTTAGTGCGTTTCCTGTCGCCTCCGTTGACTTACCGAGCGAAGTCAACGAGCTTATTGACTTAGTGGTGCGGCAAACCCGTAAGTACGGAGTCCAACTTGAAACAGATGATAAACGGGCCATGAGCTCTGTTAATCGGATCCTTGCTCTGTTTGCGAACAGAGTCGTTCCGGATCCAGATGAGATAAATCGGATCCTGGATCACGTAGGGATCAGAAAATGGGGAGATTGCGTTAAAGAGATAAACTTCCTCGGAGAAGAGATAGCTGCAGAGCGGTTAGATGAGAAGAAGAAGAAGAGCAACGGTCAAGTCGAGCTTCTCAGTAGCTTAATGGGGTTCATATGCTATTGCAGATGCGTTATACTTCGACGGATCGAGAGAGATGATGATCATCATCATAACAACGATGGTATCAAGAAAGATCAAGACTTGACTCGAGGGCTGAAAGTTGAGGATCTCCTTTGTCCAATTTCTCTAGAGATTATGGCAGATCCTGTGGTTGTAGAAACAGGGCACACTTATGATCGGAGCTCCATCACTAAATGGTTTGGATCCGGGAACATTACGTGCCCTAAAACCGGGAAGATTCTGACGAGTACCGAGTTGGTTGATAACGTATCCGTGAGGCAAGTGATTCGAAAGCACTGCAAAACAAACGGCATCGTTTTGGCGGGGATTAGCCGGAGAAGGAGGACTCAAGATGACGTGGCGCCGGAGAGTTTGGCTGCAAAGGGAGCTGGGAAACTCATCGCAAAGTTTCTCACTTCAGAGTTAATTAATGGCGGTGAAGAGAAGATTTACAGAGCCGTGAGGGAAATTCGTGTTCAGACCAAGACAAGTAGTTTTAATAGGTCTTGTCTGGTTAAAGCTGGTGCTGTGACTCCACTTTTAAAGCTTCTTAGTTCCGGAGATTCCAGGATTCAAGAGAACGCAATGGCTGGGATTTTGAATCTTTCCAAGCACGTTACCGGAAAATCTAAGATTGCCGGAGAAGGGTTAAAGATCATTGTAGAGATTCTAAACGAAGGAGCTAAAACAGAGACGAGATTATACTCTGCTTCTGCTCTGTTTTATCTCTCTTCCGCTGAAGATTACAGCAGATTGATCGGAGAAGATCCAGACGCGATTTCGGGATTGATGAAGATCGTTAAAGGAGAAGATTACGGCGATTCCGCAAAACGTAACGCGTTGCTTGCGGTTATGGGATTGTTAATGCAATCCGATAATCATTGGCGTGTTCTCGCCGCCGGAGCTGTTCCGATTCTCCTTGATCTGTTGAGATCGGAAGAAATTAGCGGCGAACTCACGGCGGATTGTATAGCGACGTTGGCGAAGCTAGCGGAGTATCCTGATGGGACGATTGGGGTGATTCGTCGTGGCGGTTTAAAACTCGCGGTGAAGATTTTGTCTTCGTCGGAAGATTCTCCGGCGGCGGTGAAGCAGCATTGTGTTGCTCTGATTCTGAACTTGTGTCTTAACGGAGGATGTGACGTTGTTGGGGTTCTGGTAAAGAACACGTTGGTAATGGGGTCGCTTTACACGGTGTTAAGTAACGGCGAATGTGGAGGAAGCAAGAAAGCTAGTGCGCTTATTAGAATGATCCACGAGTTCCAGGAGAGGAAAACCGGTTCGGTTGAACCGAATCTTCAAAGAGGACGGTTCGTCCACGCCTGGTGATTTTGGTACACAGTAACTCTTGAGTATTTTAAAGAGTTATTTACCAAAAAGGAAATTAAATAATTTTGGTTAAGGGTGAAATTCTTTTATTATTGCTTACGTAAATGGTTTAGTGTTTGTATATTAGCTCGGGTTTCATTTTAATAAACCAAAGAGCTACCTGGGATGGCATAAGCTTCAGGTTTTTAAAGAAGAAGCTGTGTCCATAATCCACAATGTAATTATTTGTATTTCTTGGATATAAATGGATCAATAAAAACTATTACAACGAAAAATACCTAACTTTTAATTACCGAAAATTAACATTACAAATATTTATTGGTCCAAAACTAAAAACAAGAAAAGTACCTAGCTTTTTTTTGAGGTAGTCTTCTTATTCACTCACATGATGCACTAAGTTGGAAACCCAAACTGGTGTTTGAAACATTTGCAAACATTCGTTCGTTTGCAATAACATTCGATAAGGTTGTTAATCTAGTTGAAGTTTGTAAATTTGGCGCAAAATGTTGATTGTGGTCTTTATAATTTAGCATAGTTTATATAGAAGTGTGATATTTTTCATGTATAGACTTCCGAAAAACATATAATTTTATGTTTATGATTTTAATCAAAACAACGTGGTTTTAGTTTTTTTTTTAATATAATAAACAATGTTACAAAATTTGTTGGTTGACACCTAAAATAAATTATGTAAAAAGTAAATATCTATTATAAAATTAAATTGATTCGCTATATGTTTTGAAGTTGGATTGATTTTGAATTGGAAGCCCGCGATTAGTCTATATATAAACTTTCCAATTTTAGTTGTTAATTCGTTTGAAATTAAAAGCCCATAATTCATATATGAATTTAATTGGTTTTGAGTTGGAAGCCCATTTATATTCTTTTAGAAAAGTACGATAAACGCTATATGGCGATGAAAATAGCCAGGAGAATTCCATACCGAAACCTAAATTATATTTGAGTAGTTTTATTCGATGAAGAGATGAAGAGACAAAGAGTAATCGAGTTAGATCGTGTGGAGAAGACAAAGTTCAACATAGATTGGGACGATGCTTTGGGAGAAGAAGAAGTTCCCGAGCTCGAGATCATCGCCACTGACAAAATTCCGCCGCGTGAGCCTACTCTTTCCGGCGATGAACCCGCCGTCTGTGTGCAATCCCTCAGGGATAACGAACTCGACGATCATCTGAAGCGTCAGAGATCACTTCTTACTCGTCTCGGCGATAAGTTGCCAGATAAGGGCGAAAAAATCCGAAACAGAATCGGAGACCTTGAGTACGAGAAGCAGCGAAGGATGTTCCAACAACGGACCAAAATGGTTTTGTCTTTTTTTTCTCTGCAATTGCACCATTCTGTGTTTGATTGTCACTCAAATGAAAGCTTTTGAGTCCTTTACATTTGTAGCTGAAGCTTATTGTGCAGTGGAATTTAGAGTTTGATGCTGTGATGTGTGGAAGATAATGTAGTATGTGTTAGGAGGATCAGTGGTTTAGTTCTTCGATTGGTTCTAGATTCTGCTAAAGCTTGTCCTTTGTTTTACATTTTCACTTGTTTAGTATAGTTTTGATTTTGTTTGGTATCTTTTTTTCCTTATGGATGTATAATCCTCTGTCACAATCTCTGTTTAGACAAAATTAAATGAGTTTCTCTGATACAATGCCATGTGACTTTACCTTATTTTAGCAGGATGCGGATAACGGATGTCAGATTCTCGAGAAACCGAAAAGCTCAGGTATCTTGTTGCAAATTTGTCCTAGCTAATGTTGGTCTTGAAAGTTTGTGTTTAACATTTTTTTTTTTTTTTCAGATGTGTTTATGCGAGCGAGTACAGCCTCAAAAGAAACCTCTGGACAAGGGAATACTGGATCGAAAGACGTGTCTCGGTCAACATTTGCTGCTCATTTTAGTGACAATCCTAAAGTATGGTGTTTTTACATTCTCTGTTTTTAAAACCCTTTTAGGTGGCTGCTTCTTAATAATCCTTTTTTAACAGGTGGGAGCTCAATCAGTAAAACTGTTTAACGACAAACTGCAAGATTTGGGACGTGGAAGCTGGAAAAGCAAAGCAAATAGAGACTCAGTAATAGAGAAAAGTAATGGGTGGCGGTCGCTGCCAAGATTAAGCAAGTGTAAGGTAAGTGAAAAGAACTTTTATTCTGAAGCTAAGGATCCAAAAGGGGATCGAAAACCCAATGAAGCTTATGGTAAGGGAAAGCCAAAGGAATCTTCCCCGTACTTACTTGTCGATGATGATGACGACGACGACCCCGTCATTGGCTATGAAACTCCCAGGTCCATATCTTTTCTGCTACTGCTTCAGAAATTGTTTTTCATGTTCAAAATGACTTAGTTACTGCCATTTATGCCACACCATGTGGTCCTGGCTAACCTTCACTTTTCAAACCAGACCTATCGTTCTGAAGAGAATTTATTATATTGACATATCCGTATATCTTTCTCTCACAGGGAGTGGAGTTCGAAAGCATCGCCATCACAGAGTTCAAGCTGTAGGAAGGTATGTCATCGTATGCCATACAATTGTACATTAAAATAAGGACCTTCGCACCCTTTCTGACATTTTTGTTATAGAAATCAGATGATAAAGTAATTAATTTGGACGAAGATGAACCTCAGTCTCCAATGGTAGTAGAGGAAGCATGTGAACTTCCTGAAGGGTAAAAACAGAGTTATTACTGTTTATCTTCATCAAGTGACTGAATCTTTCTTGTTGAAGATAACTTAATTTTGGTAAAATCTGCAGGTTACCTGAAGATATTTACTACCCATCAAGGTAGGTAGAAAAACTACTATGTTGTTGGTGTAGGTTTACTTATTGTAATCGTCAATTAGATATTTGACCTTTTTCCACTTCATCTAGTGATCAAAGTGATGGGCGAGACCTTGTTCAAGTATCTCTTAAAGATTTGAAATGCCTTTCACCTGGGGAATATCTTACATCGCCAGTTATAAATTTCTACATCAGGTGACTTTTAAGTACTGACTTGCATACTTGCATTATATATCTCGAGTTTTAGCTTTGTGATAATTTCAGCTTCTGTTTGACTAGGTTCTTGCAACATCACGTGTTTTCAGCGGATGAGACAGCTGCTAATTGTCATTTCTTCAATACGTTTTTCTACAAGAAGCTCATAGAAGCTGTTTCGTACAAGGTGATTGTTTCCCCTGGTTTCTATGATGGTTTTGAGCTCATTATGTTTGGTTCAAGTCCTCAAGATGCTTTCAGTTTCATTGTTCTATTATAGAAGGTTGAGTCTAAATATTTCATGTGCAACTGTAACAAGAATTGAGGGAAAATGATAATACTACCTCTTTTTTGAATCTTATGATTAACATAATTTTCTTCTTGGCTACTCATGTGTTGTTTGGTCTCTTTGTCTTGTCCTTTCAATATGATTAGGGTAACGACAAGGATGCATATTTTGTGAAGTTCAGGCGGTGGTGGAAGGGTTTGGATCTCTTCTGTAAATCATATATATTTATACCGATACATGAAGAGTAAGTAAATTTGTGACTGTTTTCTATTGAATCCTATGATTGCATTTTTTTTTGGCATGAAGAGTAATTTTTTTCATCTAAGCTCAGAGGAGTATGCAAAAAGATACTATCTTAGATCAGAGTCATCGCATCTCAGTCTGCTCTTTGTAATGGAGAAATGTTCTTAGCGTCAATTGTTAGATTGTTTAATTTTTTTTTTTCCTTTTGGATGTTTCAGTCTCCACTGGAGCTTAGTAATAATTTGCATCCCAGACAAGGAGGACGAATCGGGATTGACTATAATTCACTTGGATTCATTGGGACTTCACCCAAGAAGTTCGATTTTTAATAATGTCAAAAGGTGAGACCCAAGGAATCCGTAGTATTGATGCTGATTGCATAAAAGTTTCTCAGTGCTAAGACCATCGTCACTGTATTGTGGTATTAATTACTACTTATTGTTGCAGATTTCTGAGAGAGGAATGGAACTATCTAAATCAAGATGCTCCATTGGATTTACCAATTTCAGCAAAAGTATGGAGAGACCTTCCCAATATGATCAACGAAGCTGAAGTGCAGGCTAGTCTTTTTCACTTCTTACGTTGTAAATCATAATATTTAAAGACAAAGTATATAGTATTTATCTAAATTGTTTCATCACCTTCTCAGGTTCCACAACAGAAGAATGATTTCGACTGTGGGCTGTTTGTTCTCTTTTTCATAACACGTTTCATCGAAGAGGCTCCTCAAAGACTGAAATTGCAGGATTTGAAAATGGTGTGTTTTTCTTCCATCTTCGTCTTCTGTGATCTATTCTAAACAATTTGTTGTAACACAACTTGTTGTCTTGTCTTCATCTCCAGATTCACAAGAAGTGGTTTAAACCCGAAGAAGCTTCCGCTTTGAGGATCAAAATCTGGAACATACTCGTTGATCTATTCCGCAAGGGTAACCAAACAGATTAAAGCTGTAAAGAACAGTGTCAAGTTTGGTCACTCTAATTAAGAAATGAAAGATAAGTTTTTTTGTTAACCGATCATTTTGTTCAAGTCCTGTAATAAACCAAGGAGCATGACATAATCAGAACAAATCAACAAGCCCCAATAATAACGTATCCGAATAAAAGCTAACATTGCTGCAATGGTGCAAATAACACAGCTTTTGCAAAATTACAAGTCTTACAAGCTATCTTTATAACGACTCAGTCAACAGTTTCTCTAAAGCATTTGAAATTGTTTCGATCGTCCCTCTACATAATCCATTAAACCGAGATTGTTACAACACTGAAGAATCTAAAACAGAGGAAAGCAGAACTCAAAAGGGGTTTTGTATCCCAAAGATGAAGCATTCCGTATAGCCCAGGCTAGGCCGTGATTTCGGCGCCTTCTACTCTCTCTTTCTCCGTGATGCCTACGACTTGTCTTAGTCCCTGCAAATGTGCAACAAAACATCACAATCAAACAACAGCGAATGAGATTACGACATGGTTACATGGACTGGTAGTGATCAAAGATTTGACAATCGCTCAATTTCTTTATGAATAAAATCATTAGAATCAAAGTCAAACTTTCTCTCTCTGCCCAACCGTAATATCATTCCACAGATGTGTGAACTCAAAGTATTACTCAGAGACTAGGATTAGACGATATCTGATTCCAAAAGATTTAAGACGCATGTTACATGCAAGGCTACTCAGATGACAACTCTAGCTTTGCTACAATTATATATACCAACAACTATTATGCAGCTGTTAAGTAAAGGCACACATCATGATGATAAGTGAAACAAATAAACAAAATAGACTGGAAGAAGGTTACTTACCAGTACTTAATCAAGCCGTCCCATCCACATGTTGCGACTTTACTCTGTTCCAGAGGATGCCACTCGGCTCCAATGCATACTCCATTATGACATTTCAGAGTTCTAAACACTTTGCAGCTCTTCCAGTCCCAAAACCAGCACTTACCCTCACCATCTCCTGACATTACAAACCGTCCATCTGGTGAGAAGTTAACTTGGCATGCATATCCGGCAACAATGTGCCCTGCAAATCTCTTCTTCTTATTCAGCTGAAACCTTTCTCGGGTACTGTAGATCAGAATCTGGTTATCCAAACTCTGTGCAGCAAGCCAGTTTCCATTCGGGTGAACAGAAATAGAAGGCATAGAATGCATATGAGGCTCACTGATATACTTGATAACCACCGGGATCCCAAATTCCCAAACGCGGAGAGACTTATCATCACTAGACGTGACAAATCTTCTGTTATTGTCCACAAATGTGATAGTATTAACTGCCCCCAAGTGCTGATCATACTCTTGTGTAATCTCCCCCGTATTAATATCCCACTGCACAATCTTCTTATCACTCATACCAGCCAACAAAATGTTCTGCTTGTCATCATCCGGATTCAGCTTCACCACATACGGAATCTTCCCAGTCGAGAAAGTCGATATAACTTGGCCAGTTTCCGTGTCCCAATACTTAATGTTCTTATCATACCCAGCAGTTAAGAACTTAGACCCATCATTGGAAAAGCAAATATCCCTCACAGCTTTGGCGTGACCCATGTAAGTCCTCATACATTTACCAGAGTTATACACATCCCAAATCTTAACCTTACAATCCATACCTGCAGAGAGAAGCAAATGTCCTTGCTTTGGGAAGAACCTAATAGCAGAAACACCTTTCGTGTGACCACTCCATGTATGAACCAAACGTTTTGGAATGTAACAATGATCATTGTTCGCTTTTGCATCTTTCGGAGCCTCAATCCAAGACCTTCCTTGATAATCTTTCTCCTCTTTGCCATGGAAGGTACTCTTATCCGCATAATGCTCCCCTTTGGCTTCACCTTGTTGTCCCTTCTCTTCCTTCTTCTTCGCGTGATCCTCCGCATACTTCTTCTGCTCCTCCGTCAACTCTCCCTGAACCACCTCCTTCTTCCTCGACCATGGACTCTTCCTATTCTTCATAAGCCAAGCTTCCGTCGCCGGATTCTCAGCCTCAGGCTCAATCTCTTCCTTTTTCTCTTCCCCTTCTCTCTCCTCTCTATTCTTCTCAATCTTCCTCCGCTTCTGCTCACTCTGAGGGATATTATAAACCGAAAGACCATCGTTCTGCTTCAACGCCTCAACATCGCCGACATAATGCATCCCAGACGGATCCGCCGCGTAACCGTACTTATGAAACGTATTGTACTGCTCATCGAACCCAAATGATCCAATCGAAGCATCTTCCACAGACCCTAGCTTGTGATTACGCATCCCTTGAGCGATCCCGTCTTTAGCATACGGATGCGCGGGGCCGTAAATCGGAGCCCACATCTGCTCATGGGTTGGGTTAAACAAGACGACGTGTTGAGTCGGGTCAATCGGCTTCGATTTCGATCGATTCACGTTAGCCACCGTGAGAGCTAACGCCGTATCGTCTACCTCCGGCGCCGATGATTTCGCCTTTAACATACGAGGCGGTGAAGATTCCGGCGAGGAAGCAACGGCTTCTTCTTCGTCGTAGGATTGAATCAGATCCATCTCTCACGATTTTGCTCACACCACAAGTGTTGAGAAACTTTATACTGAGATTTTGCCTCGACAAGGGTTTCAAAATTCCTAAATCCACAATAAGGGTTTGCAATTTGTGCCAGATTTAGATTTTGAAATATAGCCCTGACTTTTGTTTTGTCTTCACATTTACCCCAATAATGTATTTTAGTGACATTTACGTCCCATTGTCTTTACTCGGTGGTTAAATTTTGTCCCGGGTAAAATAGTAAAATCTTATCTGATAACAACCAAAATACGGTCCAATCTAAAATCACACGCCAAGTCAAACCGTTAAACCGGAAGGAATAAAAAATAAACAACAAAACATGTTTTCATAATTCAAAATACTCATCTCATATTTAAAGAACTACAGTATGTAACACATGTGTGAAAAAACACTAGCTTAGACATATAATTTGGGATTTCATGCTTCAAAATATATATATCCATAGATGATTTTCCTTACTCTCTCTTCTATCCTTGATGGATCAATGCCGATCCGACTAATGATAGCCTGCAAATATTCATTTTAGACGATTAGTCGTATATAATAAAATTTTATTCAAAAGACATGACACATGCATGTACGTGTGTATTATACAAACACTAGTGTTGAACCCGTGCTATGCACGGGTACTGACTGTGATATAATCATAGAAGTATATATATATCAAAATTGGACTCAGAAAAGTTGTGCATGCCAAATATGAGTATAGTTATATATCAAAATTGGACTCGGAAAACGTTGATGGTTTTATAAGAGTTATAATTACTTTTCAATATATTGTTGTCTTTGACAGTGCAGTCAAAAGCTGGAGAAGACAAATAAATAAAACATAAAAAAGTGGGAGTTTTAATGAACTCCATCAATGCATCTGTTATTACTTTTGGTTTATATGGATGACGACAGTAAATTCGTTAATTAAAGTGGTGGGAGAGATTGAGATCGTGGGAGGGAGGGGGGTACCAGTTGCATCAAAAAAAATATTTTTGTGGTAACTTTTTTCTCTATTTAAAAGTAAAAATTTAATTTTAATTATTTAAATAAGTGAAAGATGAAAATTTGGGACTTAAGCCAGATGTCAGATAGAGAGAGTTGCAGTTAATTGTGAAATGACTTGTGAATTATTAGATAAAGATATGCGTGGGTGTGGTACCTGGGCTATGATTGTATAAGTGGTCCTATCATTCAAGTTCTGAAGATTTGCACTCATTATTTGAGCTCCTTCTTCTTCAAAAATACTCACAAGCTCGTGTAACATTACTCTTTTTATGTTTAGATCCATAATCAGATTCAATTCTATGGTCGAATCCCGTGAACGAATACTGAGTTTGGGCAGAAGAGACGACCCTTCATAGAGATTCCCGAGTTCTCCTTGTAACAATGTCCTTTTCTTCTCTTTCAAATAATTTAACTTCTCTTTCAACTGGATCGTGTATGATGTCGCTTGATCTATAAGTTGAGGCACTGGTAACTGTTAGAGCCCCAAAAAAAACCCAAGTTAATTGCTTTCATTTTATTTCTTACATGAATGTGGTTATATTCAATGTATAACTAAAATGTTAAAACCCTACGTGAATCATTTGTTTTTAAATTAGACAACGTACTTAAAAGAGAGCTAATTGGACGGTCATAGAGTGACAACTGCATAACCAATTAATCAAAATATTAATATTTTTTTAGAATATCCGTACATCTTACAGTAATTGTGTAGATAATGTTTGTATTGTATATATAAGCAGAAAACACATGTACAATTTAATATTATATATATATATAGAGAGAGAGAGAGAGAAGAGAGAGAAGAGAGAGTTAGAGAGAGAAACAGACCTTGCGAGTGGGAGAAACATGAGAAGAGAGTTCAGAGAATAGATGTTTCATGCGCATCCTTCGATCCTTCTCTCTGAGGTTTCGTTGTTCCCTTAACGACGATGAGTTTCCTTCTCCTATTTCTCTTGCCCTCGCCATTCTTTTTGTTTTCTTTGAAGCTTTTATGCACATGTTTCTCTCTTTTCAAACTCATCTCTCTTCATATATAGATAAAGAAATAGAGAGGGAGAGACATAGTCACAAATCTTAATTTTGAGAGAAAGAGCTGCGACATTTAGATGAAAGGGATGCTTTTGGAAATAAAGTCATGGCTTTTGTGATTGCGTCCGTGAGCTTACACACTAATTAATAAGATGCATGCATCTTTCTGGCCTACCAAGTAAACTTTACTATTTACTTGGGAATTTCCACTCTTAAAGATACAAAAATTTTAAAAATAATTAGATATATACTGTTTATCATAAAATAAAAAATGAATTTAGATTACACATTACTAGCTAGGACATAGAAAGTGTTCAGTGGTTTGGTCCATGTCACTTGTATATTTATTAGTTTAGGTCGCATCATATTTTTCATGTAAGAAGTACTAACTTACCGTACGTGTGAGATGAGATTCCTAGCTAACGTTCAGAGATATGTTTCTTCTTCTTTCAGATTACTAATTATAAGTTTTAGTCCAGTGAGTTGCTGATCAGTAGAGTAGGTTTAGAGATAATTATTATCAAAAACCATTTCAATGGCGTAAAATAGTCAAAGCCACTGTAGACAAAACTGATTTCCTTACAACAGCGCGCACTATGTTTCCATCGACGACAAAAAGAAAAGGAAATTTGTTTTGTATACCGATAGAATTGGGACCACTAAATCAAACAATATCATGTTCAATTAATTAGGTGCACATATTGCACAAGGCGCCATAACCTAAGAATATTATTCAACAAGCTATCATTATCATACAAGAAAAAGATACAACACATATCCCTCACAGAAATTATTAAAGGCCTCAGCTCTCTTTGGCCGTATTGCCGACATCATTCACCGGAGATCTCGTTTAGTTATAAAGACTTGAACGTCTACATGGAACGATCTAATTAAACGTTTCACCGGAGATGAATACAAAGAAAGATAATTAAACATGCGTAGCTTGTTAAGTCTTGGAGTCCAGGTAGATGTTGGTCATAATTTTGCTACTGAGCAAAATGACATAAAAAGTAAAAGGAGAACATGGTTAGCCGCAAAAAAAAAAAAAAAAACAAATTCAAAGAACCTCATTTGTAAGTCTTTCCTAGTTTTTGAAAATCGTACAATGATACTTAATTAGGAATAACACTGTGTATATATCGTCTCACTGCTTGACCACGTTCTTAGAAACTGCAGTAAGGGCCAATTTTATTTTTATTGCATTTTCCACATGTTTTTTTTGTTTCCTTCTTCAAATATTTGAATTCGCACAAGAAGAGACTAGTCATTTGGACACTAGCTACCACAGCCAATGAAAATCCGAGACTAGAAAAAATAACTAAGCCAACTTTTAAAATGTTAAATTTATAATCATTTGTATCTAATTCTGTGGCTAGATCACCACTGTTGTGATCAAAATAAATTGTTAGAAATTATAATTGTCATGCAAAGGAAGATAATATGTACTATAAGAAAAAAGTTAAAATTCATCTTTAGTCTATATGGTTGATTTTGTATGTGAATATAGTGAACTAAATATATATACGGGCATAAAAAGTAATAATCTTTTCATAGCTACAATTTCATCCTCCTCCAAGTCATCATTATTTGTTTCTTTTGCATTTGTTTGTAAAAGCTTGGTTCTCTTTTCTTTCTTAGATTAGGTAACAAACTTTGTTCGAGAAAAAAGGGTTAAAATTTTACCAAAATTGAAGATGAAGCTCGTGGTTGTAAAATTCTAATTCAAAATCTTTCTGCTCCTCACATCTTTTTTTTCGTACTTTCAAGCGCTGATTCGTGTAAGTATACATATTATATTTATTTAGGAATTATTATCACTTAGCTTCAATTACTCCTCTATAATTCAATTACTCCTCTATAATTGTAAGATTTTATATGTGATGATATATGAATTAGCAGCATGTGGTGGAAAGTGAAATGTGAGATGCTCAAAGGCAGGACAACATGAAGAGTGCCTCAACCACTGCAACATATGTTGCGAGAAGAGTAATTGTGTTCTCTGAGGCACTTACGGAAACAAAGATGAATGTCTTTGTTACCGCGATAGGAAAAACTCCAAAGGCGGATCCAAGTGTCCTTGAACATGTTTTGAAGATAGTCTCAAATGGAAAGAAAAGAGAAAAATAATTAAAGAGATGTTGAAGATGAGGCTTTTCGTCCATATACTTGATGAAATGGTTTTTACTTTATTCAGACATTTGTCATTCCCTTTACCGTAAACAATAATAGGGCTATTACACCAATTCACTCTTGAAAGTACTCATCATCTCTCATGTTTAAAGAACTAATTACACATTTTTTGATCAGAAAAAACATTAAATTATTGCAAACAAACTATCGTAGACTTGTGATTTAATAATGCTTCAAAAAATTAATCATGAGATTATATCCCTTAGTCTCTTTTCTATCCTTGATGGATCAATCCCGATCCTACAAATAATAGCCTGCAAATATTCATTTAGGCGATTAATAATTTATCATATATGATCTTTCAAATTAGTTCAAAACTATATTTAAAAGACCTTGCACAAGAGATGCTAAAAAAAAGACATGACACATGCATGTTACCTGTGCAATGATTGTATAAAAGGTCCTATCATTCAAGTTCTGAAGATTAGCACTCATTACTTGAGCTCCTTCTTCTTCAAAAACACTCACAAGCTTGTGTAGCATTATTCTTTTCATGTTTAGATCCATAACCAGATTCATTTCTATGACCGAATCCCGTGAACGAATACTGAGTTTTGGCAGAAGAGACGACCCTTCAGAGCGATTTTTGACTTCTCCTCTTAACAAACTCATTTTCTTCTCATTCAAATAGTTTACCTTCTCTTTCAATTGGATCATGTATGATACCGCTTGATCTATAAGTTGAGGCACTGGCAACTGTTGGTGCCAATAAAAGCACAAGCTAGTTACTTCCATTTCTTTTCTTTTTTTTGGTTATATCAATATATTTATTAACTAAAATATAAAAGGCCTATATCTATATGATGCATTTGTTTTTAACTCTACACTACATAAAATGGTCCTAGCTGGCTTTGTACTAATATGAGAACCCTAGCTAAATGCTGCAGTTCGATTGATCTGGTCAAAATCAAAATGATTATATATCCGTTGATCAATTCTTTGATTGATCTGTTTAAAATCAAGATCTCCATTGGGTTTTCACAGCATAGACCGGTACCTAAGTGTCTAGGCGCTTAGACAACATCAACACATACATCAACATATACACATAAAATACATGTAGAGAGAGAGAGAGAGAGGGAGACAGACCCTACGAGTGGGAGAAACATGAGAGGAGAGTACAGAGAAGAGATGTTTCATGCGCATTCGTCGCTCTTTCTCTCTGAGGTTTCGTTGTTCCCTTAACGATGATGCACTTCCTTCTCCTATTTCTCTCGCTCTTTCCATTCTTTTTGTTTTCCTTAATTAGGTTACTATGTTTAATTAATTCTCTCTTTTCAAATACATCTCTCTCTATAAATATAAAGAGATAAAGAGAGAGACAATGAGAATCTCAAGAGAGAAAGAGCTACGTAATTTAGATGAAAATGATGTTTTTCAAAGAAAGTCATGGCTTTTCTGGTTGCGTCCGTGAGCTTACACACTACTTAATTTATATATATGCTTCTTTTACTTTGTAAGTTTCACTCTTAGAGATACTAAAAAATTTCCAATAAATTATTTGGATTAGTTGATACGGTTGTTGGACACATTTCTAGAACCTAGCTAGTGTTACTCTAGGTAATTGGTCCAGTGAAGGTTCGTAGAAAATATGCTTATTAATTAAAATCATTTCAGCAGAACATAGTAATTTCATAGTATATCGAGCATATACAAAAGTACCATGTTTGCATCGACAAAAACAAAAAGGAATTTTTTTTTATTCCACCATGATAATTATGTTGATCATTTTAATAGGGTAGATAAAATTAAAAATACCTACAAAGGATAATGTAATAAGTCCATGTTTAATTAATAGGCGTCAATATTTATTATCCGAATTAAAGTACACTATACAGGTCACAAACTAAGATTATTTGGTGTCAAAAAAAGAAGAAGAAGCTGGTAAGATTATTCAACAAGCGATCATTATTTCAACATACAATACAAAGGATACAACCCATTCCTTATATATACTAAAGACTTTGAATTCTTTTTTGCCGTAAATCTGACATATTTCACAGGAGATGTCGTTTAATTATACACTTGACCAAGTCTTATTCTCATACCAATAATTATACACTTGACCAAGTCTATATGGAACTTTTTACCCAAAGAGTAAAAATTAAACATGTTTAACTTAAGTCTTGGAGCCTTAGCTAATTTCTCGGATGCCTTGTAAAGACCATAAAACCAGACCACTGTTGATTGGTAGATCGCCAAAATTATAGAATGTAGTTATAAACTCTTGAATTGTTTAGGCATTAGTAGAAATCCACAACGGCTAAAAATGGACATATATATCTGTGTATTTTTTACTTTTCTAAAAATCGGATTTGGATCCCAAATCCCAATATAATAATTAACTATGGTTAACAGTTTACATATTCTAAACCAACATTTGGAACATGATGGAAAACATGTTAGCCGCAAAGAAGTAAAAGAAGAAAACCTTAATTTTGTCGTCTTTCCTTGTTTTGCATAATCGTCCAAAGAAATAACTTTATAAAGAACTATACATCTATCGCCTAGTCGTCGCTGCTAAGTGCTAATTATATTCTCATAGCATCTCGCACATGTGTTTTTCCCTAGTTTTTTCAACGCATACATGTTTTTCTTTACTTTAGTCAAATATTTGAATCAAGATAAGCTACCATTCTAAGAAACTGGCTTTTCTATAATAACACTCACGAATTAGCCATTATTTATAAAATGTTAACAGTATCATCGAGATTCCAGTCAATACATGTTATTAATAAAGAAAAATCAGATCTAGATATAAAAATTAACATTCCTTTCTTGTCTCTAACCTTTTTAGTATCTAGATAAAGATTTAGGTATAATTATTACGATTTTTATTTTAAAATTTAGAACCAAAAAATGGAAAAGAATCATATAGCAAACAACTTTCTAAGATATAAAGGAAATTTTATTACATACAATCAAAGTTTGAGATATTTTTTTTTCGTTTTTCGTTTTTATTGAAAATGTTTTGAGTAAAAAAATGTTAATAAAGTTGTAAAAAATGTGATCGGTAAGTGAAAAAGTAGACATCTTTATGTATGAAATGATGTTGGATTTTAGACATTTCTGATTTTTGATTTTTGGATGAAAGATTATATCTTTTTGCAATCAATCTCATGGATTGTTATTATCAAGTTCGATATCAATATATGTTTTGATCAAAGTTACTATTTTTAGTCTATTCTCTCTAAAAGTTTGTAACTTTCCATGGTAAAAAATCCATTCTTCTTTAATTTTCTTTAGAAGATTTGATTTTTTTTTAGTGATGTGATTGATTTGTCTAATGAGTTTGGAACGGGTCTTCAACGAGTCTATAGACTATACATGTTATTAATAAAGAAAAATCATATCTGGATAAAAATTTTTAGCACTTTGTGTGTAATTATTAAGATTTGTATTTTAAAATTTAGAACAAAAAAATGAACAGAATCATAAAGCAAACAACTGCTAAGCAAACAGCTGTCCAAGATATAGAGGACATTTATAAAATAATACTTATTTGATATAAAATTTGAAATTAAATAATTCTGTAACAAAAATCTGATTGGATATTATTTAAACAGTAATTCCGTTTCATGATTTTGTTACAAGCTAATAGCATAGTTGATATTTTTTAATATTAAACAAAAATTGAATGTGTTTAGTCCATGTTTACTAGGCACTAGCTATCTTGTTAATCTAAAATATGTAACATTTTGAACAAATTTACAAATAAGTAAACAAATATTGACAAATTGTGTGTCATAATCATCACGATTTTATTGTCATGTAACTTGAAATAATAATGCACTATAAGAAACAAATTTTCCAATTAATAAATGCTTCAATACTGGTTAAAAGATCTTTCAACACTACGTACTTAGTCATAAAAGTCTATGAATATGATTTTATTCTGTATGTGAATTTTAGTAACTTAAAATAGTATATCGACATAACAAGTATGAAATCTTTAATTACTATTTTTATTTAAATTGGACAACAGATAACAAACATTTCACTTAAAATTCTCACTATAAGTAGTCTTCTTTTTGTAGCCACATTTCATCATCATCACTACTTTCTTTTCGCAGATCTGCTAAGTTTTTTCTTTTTTTTTACGTAACAAACTATTATCAGAAAAAAAGAGAAAGCTTTAAAATTTAACCAGAAATGAAGATGCTCGTGGTTGTACAATTCTTCATAATCTCTCTTCTCCTCACATCTTCATTTATTATACTATCAAGCGCAGATTCGTGTAAGTGGTATACTCGATCTTGTTAGTTCTTTTTAGGCTATTTATCATTTGAAACTAGTTTTCTGAAATTCTAAGATTTTGATTTGTGATGATGATAAATGAATTTTCAGCATGCGGTGGAAAGTGCAACGTGAGATGCTCAAAGGCAGATCGAACACATGAGGAGTGCCTTGAGGACTGCAATATATGTTGCCAGAAGTGTAATTGTGTTCCTTCGGGTACTTATGGAAACAAAGATGAATGTCCTTGCTACCGTGATATGAAAAACTCCAAAGGCGGATCCAAGTGTCCTTGAACATACTTTGAAGATCCTCATCGCATAGATAACATCTACGTACTATATGTATGAAAATCACATCTATGTTTGATGTATGAAATAAATTCCGTGAGCCTAATGAAAATTTTGTTATCTTTAATCCGATTCCTAAACACATAAAGAATAAATCATGTCAAGGTTTATATTTCTCAGCCTCAATTTCACTAAAAGCAACAACTAGGGATACTATGATGGGATGCACATTTGAGAATTTACTCTCTCAATTGTCATAATCGAAAATCGATTCAAGGGTTTAATTATGCAAGTAATTGATTCTACCGGTTTGCATCAACTAATACTACATTGTAACATCACAGAAACTCATTGGATGTGAAAGTAGTAGCCCTTTATAATTTGTTTCCAAGGAAAAACACAAGAACAAAAACTAAAACAAGAGAAAGATCATCCCATGATATTTAAATAGAGAATCAATCTACAAAAAGACGGCAACCTGATTTTCAAAACAAGAACGGTAGATCAAAGGCAAGCCGGATACTACATAAAGACTCAAATCCACCAGGAAATTCTGATATAGCAAAAAACTCAAACCAAAGAGGCTTTTGCTTCTCCAACTAGAACATAAGTTTTTTTTGAGTCGCTCTGCTTTCTTTTGTGGAGGAACCATATCAAGCTTCGACGCTCACAAGCTCATACTCGATCAGCGAAAGATTGTTATCATCTTTCACGGTGATGTCTGTGGGCTCCTCTGCGACGTCAACACGTCCCCATCTATCAACTGCAAGCCTCATAGACCCCTTGTACATGTCGATCTTCGCATTACGCAGAGTCAATACACTGCCCTCTTTCATCAAATCCACTGACAAAAAAACGGATAATAGCATCAGACAGAAATCTTTACATTACATGAGAAATACCCAAATTCTGCAAACAACTAACGATTTCCACTAACTATATTCATATGTTGAAGTAAAGCAAACCACTTTCCTGCTATTATTTGTTTCACAGATTCACAACCAGTATTGACTATAAAGATGCTGACCTAGAACAGAAACGTGCCCTTAAAGATTGCTAACTAAGAAGAGAAGCAGCATCTAAAAAACCATCACAAAAGCATTTATTCTCTCACCTTGGTCATTTCTTGCAGTAAAGATTATAATTCCAGTCTCATCACCAACTAAACATTCCGCGATCCGCATCTGACGTGCCTGAGGACCCATGGGACGACCTCCTCCTCCTCTCTGCAACACCATCTTCGTGTTGACAACTTTCACATTCAGCGAGTGACCACTGGTTCCTGGTCTCAGCTCATTAACCTTGGTGAACACAGGCTTCCTCAAAGCAGGCGTTGCCTCAGCCATTTTTATAACAACGCTACAAAAATTAGCCATAAACAAGAACATTAGCAGTGATCAGCACCTAACAACAAGCACCTAACAACAATTCAATTTGCAATCACAACAACAGCAATTTCCATATTTGATTAGATCATCAAAACCTCAAATGCGATCAAACAGGTTTAAGCTATCCTCATTTCTCACTCATTCACACATAAGAAACGTTTTGATAATTCATCATAACAATTTCATTCTCCAAACACAAAAAATCCATTAAAACGCAGTAACATCGATAATCAAAGCTAGATTACACAAAAATCATATACTTTGATCCCAGAAATTCACGGAATCTCAGATCGGAGAAATGAAATTGACGAGAAGAAAATTGAATTCACGCTAGGAAAATGGAATTGAAACAAGAAAAAGCTAGGGTTTTTGGAATTCACGTACGTTTCGATGATTTTGGGAGAAGAGACGACGACAACGACGACTTTAGCGATTAGATCTGTGGAGGCGATATACACAAAGACGCGGCGGTCTTTATAAACTCTAAATCTCAGATATTAATACTCACCGTTGATCCCTGACCTGAACACGTGTCGCGTATCTGAATATCTTCATTTAAACTACCCTTATATTTTTCTATATATTTGAGTTTGACCTTAAAACTTTTACTAATAGAAATTAACACCCCTAATTCTCCGAATCGGTTTTTCAAAACCAATTTTACTGGACCGTGATATCAGAAACCGGTTCACTGAGGTCGCGAGATTTTTGCTGTCACTCTCGTTCTTCGATGCTCATCCATTAGAGGAGCCGATGTTTCTGCTTCCATGGTAACGCTCTCGTCTCCATCTCCGTCGCTCTCTTGCGTAGAGAACGTGACATGTAAATCTTCTCACGTTTCTCGGGTTCTAATCTCCGGTACCGATGAGAATAATCACGGTGAATCGTCAGAGCCCAAGATACTGAGAGATGTTCATATCGTAAGAAATTTTAGATTTTTCTTTTGAATTTCAGTTCTCTGTGATTTGGTAGGATCGATTACGGATTTCGAATTTGAGTTAATCGTTGTTGTGTTTGTTCTTCTTAGTCAGAAAGGTTGTTGGAGGATTTCACTGAGCTTGCAAGAGAGAACACTGAGAAGGACCTCGAGACTTGTGGGACTCTCGCTGCTTTTCTTGTAAGATTGATTTTGCTTTCTTCACATTCAAGTTGATTACTTTGGCTGATAAGAGTATCTGAGAAAGTTGGAAAGTTTTAGAAAGTCTCTGACTTTAATTACTTGGAGGAGATGTTTTAGTGAAACTCAATCTATGAGTTCGAATGATGATGCAATTGCTGATAGGTTTTAAATTTAAAACCTTCTTTTATGATCATGATTCATGGTTGCTTTGCTTCTTCTGTTCCTGGATTCTTCGTTTTTTCGAGGTTCATGAACCTGATGGTAATGACTTTTCTATTTCTGTTCATGCTGTAGGAAAGAGGAATTTTTTATGTAACCACTCTGATAATACCTAAGCAAGAATCTACTTCCAATTCTGTGAGTATCTTAGAAAGACTATCTCGATCATTTCGTGGTGTTCAACGTAAAAATGGGTGCTAACTCAGGTGCTACAAAATGGCAGTGTCAGGCTATGAATGAAGTGGAAGTGTTTTCCATTCAAAATGAAAGAGAACTCTATCCCGTAGGGTGGATTCATGTATATATCTCTCTTCTCCCTCCATGTTTTGAGATGTTTAGTGATCTGTTTGTCTACTTTGTCTTGGCTTATTATAATGAGTTTATGCATATTTTACAGACTCATCCTTCTCAGGGTTGTTTCATGTCATCTGTAGATTTGCATACACATTACTCGTATCAGGTACATCTCTATTGTATCCAACTTGCATATATACAAGGTTTGAGACAATTCTGTTCTCACTTTCCCATCATGTTATTTTTAGGTAATGGTGCCAGAGGCTTTTGCAATCGTCGTAGCTCCAACCGATAGCTCTAAGTATGTTCTTCCAAAGCTATCTTATCCCTTAACCATGGAGTCAATTATACAGTCAATCTATTTCCTTGATGGACTCTCAAACTGATTTTTTGGCAGGAGTTACGGGATATTTAAGCTAACGGACCCTGGAGGAATGGAGGTACTGAGAGGGTGCTCAGAGACTGGATTCCACCCACACAAAGAACCAGAAGATGGGAACCCGGTTTATGAGCATTGCTTAAACGTCTACAAGAACTCGAACCTTAGGTTCGAGATTTTTGATCTACGTTAAGGTAACGACCCTTCCGTGGCCTTATCAGTAAAAAATTCAAGCTTTATCCACTGTGAGCTAAGGATGTCAATAATAACCGTCATCATAACCATCACCCTAACCAGAACTGTATACTTGGTCTGAGAAGGCTCTCTGATTCGGGTTATGTACACAAATCACCTTCTATTAAGCTTAGCAATGTTGATAAATTGTCATGTCCTTAGATTTGGATCAATTGGTTCCATTATGGAAAAACACTTAAACAATGACCATTGACATTGTATTGGCGTATGCAAATACATCTGTATAAATGTAAACCTTGGCATATATTTGTTATATTTCTCCATGTAACTACATTAATTTTATCTCCATATTTCGCCATTTTGTACTGCTAAACTTGCCAGAGATGATGAAAAGAGTTGAGCTTCTGAAAACGACGGGAAAATTTCAAAACTTTAGCTTTGACTTGTTCAAAAATCATTCATTTTGACAGTTTTGGTCTGATTCAAGTTTCATTCTTTTCTTTCTCATTTGATTGATTAATTAGTTACAAAATAGCCACAATTAGCTGTAGTGATAATAAAAAAGTATCTTTGAGCTCTTTTTTGTTAAAGACATTGTCCAAATACCTCTCTTCACATGAAACAAGAGTACAAAACCAAAAACAGAATCAAAGGTCCAAACTTTTCTTTTGAAAGTAATAAAGCTCTCAAAGCTCGCTCCTTGATAAAGTAAATAGTACAGAGGATTGGGTTTTATCAAGTGAAGAAGAAACAAAAAAAAAGCTAGCTCATTTCATATTGTTAAGTGTTGCTATCAAAACCCATACAGTCCTTTGTTTTCTTTTGTTTGCTGCAAATCTCTCTTTATGGCCGTTTTCAAGCACATGATAACTTTCTTCGTACAGTCAGAGTAAAAACTCTCTTTTTCTTACCCTCTCTCTCTGTACAGATGTCACAGTCACCTCTGTCACGGATTTGGGTACAGAGACTCGCAGACGATTCACTCTTCTTTCTTTCTTTCTCTCTCTCTCTGGGTTTTAATTCAAAAAGTGGAGTTGGTTACCATTGTCTTGTACGATCGTATATTCCCGATATGATTTGTTTTGACAGAGCAACTGCTTTGTATATATGCCAAAACATATCTCTCTCTCTCTCCTTGCATCAATTTATAAGTAAGACCAAAAGAGATTACAAAGATTCAGGCTTTTTGTTTGGCTTTTCTTATTGTTGAGTGAGAGTGAGAGTAAGCCAGAGAGAGAGATGATGATGATGAGAGGTGGTGAGAGAGTGAAGGAGTTTCTTCGACCCTTTGTGGATTCCAGAACTTGGGACTTATGCGTTATCTGGAAACTCGGTGATGATCCTTCTAGGTACAACACACTCTCCATTCTGCGTTTTTCTTTGTTCATGTGAATCATCATCAGCTATCTACTTTTTTGTTTCAGTAGAAAGCTTCCATTTTTATGTTTTTCGTGTTTATCTTCTATCTTTGCTTTCTGGATTGGGACTTTTTTTCGTTTTTGGCTCTGTTATTGGTTTATCGTTTTGGTCTCAAAGTTTCCATTTTTTGATTAGTCCTTAATAACTTCTGGCTCTGTTCTATCAAATTTCTCTGCTTTCTGTTTTTTTTTTGCCTCATCTGGTTTTTCCTTTTTCATGGTTTCTGGGTGTTCTTGTCTTTACCATTTACCTCCCGGATTACCAAATTTTCGAAGTTTGAATAATACACAGTTCTTTGTCTGTTCTTGGTTTTGTCTTCTCTGGTTTTTACCAAGTTTGTGTTGAAAACTTTTTTGATTTCTGGGTTTTATGATTTTCATAGTTTCGAAATCAACCGTAATTGTTCTTATTTCCATTTTATCCACAGGTTTATTGAATGGGTAGGATGCTGCTGCAGTGGTTGTTATATTGATAAGAACATTAAGCTTGAAAACTCAGAAGAAGAAACTGAGAGAAGAAAGAAGGCTTCTTTCTGTAGAGATGAACACAACAAGCATCATATAAGAACCTTAGCTTGTGAAGCTCTTTCTCATTTTCCTCTCTTCATGCCTCTCTATCCCGGGTATGCTTCATCTATTTAAACCCCTTTCAAGTTTCAAGTTAGGTTTTTTTTAGGAAATGATATGAAGCTTCTTCCTCATTTGCAGGACTCATGGAGAAGTAGTCATGTCAAAATCTCCCAAATGGTTGGTTAATTCAGGATCTAAAATGGTAAAAAGACTCTTTTCGTCACCCTTTATTTACTTGTTTGACCATAAGAACAATCTGAACTCGATGTGCTTTGGCAGGATATGTTCAGCACTCGGGTTCTTGTTCCTGTGAGTGATGGTCTCGTTGAGCTGTTCTCCTTTGATATGGTAAAGACATGTTAGAATAAAAATTCAGTCATTGGTTTTGGTGGTTACTTCATAAAATGTTGTCCTCGTTTTTGGTTGCTTCAGAAACCGTTTGATGAAAGCATGGTGCATTTGATCATGTCGCGTTGTACCACCTTCTTTGAACCATTCCCTGAGCAAAGGCTGCCATTCAGGATCATTCCCCGAGCAGAGGAATCTATGAGTAGCGGTGTGAATCTCAGCTTTGAGGGTGGCGGATCATCAAGTGTTTCCAATCCCTCCAGTGAAACTCAGAATCTTTTCGGCAGTTACACGAATGCTCGTTGTGCAGAAATTCTCAGGGAGGAACAAGCGCCATGTTTGGTAATGAACAAGGAAAAGGATGTTGTAGTGCAAAATGCCAACGATTCCAAAGCTAATAAGAGGCTTCCTGCGGAAAACTTCAAATCAAAGAACCTTCATTCAGAGAGGAAAAGAAGAGATAGAATTAATCAGGCCATGTATGGTCTAAGAGCCGTAGTCCCTAAAATCACAAAGGTTTCTTCTGAAACTCAATGCAGTTACTGGATCACTCTTCGTATGATCAATAGCACTTTCGATAGGATTATTATATTTATCCATTTCTTTGTGCTATATGCAGTTGAACAAAATTGGAATATTTAGTGATGCGGTTGATTACATCAATGAACTGCTGGCGGAGAAGCAGAAACTTGAAGATGAGCTTAAAGGAATCAACGAGATGGAATGCAAAGAAATCGCTGCAGAGGAAGAATCTGCAATAGCTGATCCAGAAGCTGAAAAAGTTTCCTCGAAAATCAACAAGAAAGTGAAGAAAAACGAGGTATTATTCGAATATATAGACCTTGAACTTTAAGATCATCTATTCTGAGTTGTAAAATCCCACACACTATGGTTCCTTTCAGGTGAAACTAGAAGTCCACGAGATTGGTGAGCGAGATTTCTTGATTCGGGTTGTGCAGGAACATAAACAAGATGGATTCAAGAGGTTGATAGAAGCTGTAGATTTATGTGAACTTGAGATCATCGACGTTAATTTCACCAGACTTGATCTCACAGTCATGACCATTCTCAATGTCAAGGTAGTAACTTAATCACATCTCCACATTGCCCCTGCACTTAATCTCAGATTCTTGAAATCTGATAAAAAGTTTTGGACTTTTTTGTAGGCGAAAAAAGACGGGATTACATCTGGAATTCTGAGAGATTTGCTGCTCAAGATGATTATAACTTCAATATGAAAGTCGGTAAAACAGAGTACATAACTCAAAAAAAAAGGTCAAATGTTTTGTTTGCTTCAGTCACAAGTTACTGCTAGAGATATGATTTCTCACAAGCTTTTCGGTGACAAATTTACATGTTGAAACTATACATTCTTCTGGTTTATCATCGGATTTTCATTAAGATCTTTCACAAATATAATTCTAAAGAGAACCCAGAATAACAAAACACAACAAGTTGAGTTTAATTAGTGGTTCCGGTGACTTGTGTTGAAGGCTCGGCTCTCAGATTCATGGCTCGTAGCGTAGTCTTGGCTAGGGTAGTAACCAGTATTAGTACCAAGATCCGAGGAATCTTCAGAGGCTCGTCTGAAAATTCGAATCTCATTACTGTATTGACCCGAGTCATAGACCGTACTTTGACCCACTTTAACTCCGTTTGTCAGATCCGACAAGTCATCTCTCGTGTCCAGAGCTCTTACAACCTGCAAAAAGAGAGAGACACTCTTGATCAATCAGATGGTTTGTTTCTCTTTCCAGCTGTCTTTATAATTAGGGTCGAGTCAACAAGTGTTTCTTCTATTTCTGACCTGAACCATACGAGGTCGTTTAAGAGCTGAATGTCTAACACAAGACGCTGCCGTTTCGATCATCCTATAGACTTCACCTTCGACGTAATCATTCTCTAGCCGTGGATCCACTACTTCGCTGATGTCACCTTTTTCAATGGCCTCGATTAGCCGTGGACGTGCCTGCCAAAACAACAAATATTCAACCTTCATGAGATTTCATTTATTTTGTAACACAAATAAATTCATAAAATAAAAATAAAAATAAAAATTTACCCATTCGACTAAACTTTCTTCACCCAAAGGTTGAGAGGTATCAACAGGTTTGCGACCGGTGATGAGTTCGAGAAGCACAACTCCAAATGAAAACACATCTGATCTATCCGTTAGCTTTCCGCTTGACGCATATTCTGGTGCTAAATACCTGCATTGCATTATGTTATGTTGTGATAACGTTAATTTATAATAAAAAAAACAAACATTAATTTCACAAATAAGAGAAGTGACAGTACCCAAATGTGCCCATGACACGCGTTGATATGTGTGACTGTGCAGTATCGTTCAGTCTTGCGAGTCCAAAATCTGCAACCTGTACGTAACAGATCAAACGCTCTCAGTGAAGAAAATCATAATGATTTCTACGAATGTCCACTAGTCACATTTTGTTACTAAAATAGCAAAAAATAAATTAATGTAAATATTGACTTTGCCTGAGCTTCGAATTCATCATCCAACAGAATGTTTGACGATTTGATGTCCCTATGGATAATCTTTGGATGACCTAGGAAATTCATTACAGACAAATCAGCCTAATCCTTGATTATTTAGTTTTACACCAAGGAAATCTATTCACATTTCATTAAGAAATTAAAAAAAATTATAATGTAATGGAGAGTGTATATATATATACTCACAATCTTCATGTAGATAAGCAAGTCCTTTGGCTGCACCTATTGCAATCCTGACTCTTCTAGTCCATTCCAAAACCGGTAAGTTTTTGCCTGACAACAACATAAGAAATTATCTGACCACAAACTTTTTCTGGTTCGACGTTGCAACAACAAATTAACTCGGTCATGCGATAAATAGAAGCCTAATTTAGTAACACTGCTATTCACATGAATGTTCAACGATTTTAATGAGATTAAGAAAATAAATGTGCAAACAAAGAGAGATTGTAGAGAGAAGTACGTACCATGTAAATGGTAATCCAAAGTATTGTTGGGGACAAACTCATAGATGAGGAATCTGTGTTGTTCAGAGATGCAATAACCCACAAGAGACACCAAGTGCCTATGATGCACTCTGCTTATTATCTCTACTTCAGCTTTGAACTCTCTATATCCTTCTGGGCTGACCGACTTTAGCTGTTTGATCGCTACTGGCTTTCCCTCGAAAAGGATCCCCTTGTAGACACACCCGAACCCGCCTTCTCCTACCACAAAGCTCTTGCAAAATCCTTCAGTTATCTGGCTTAGCTCTTCGTAGGTGAAAAGGATCTTTGAAGTCCCTATTACTGCGGAATCAGGGGTTCCTCTACCATGTTTTGGGTTCCCAAGACTGTTAGTATCCGGTGAAGAGTTCTGTGCCGAGCTGTTCCCATTTCCGGGTTTCTGTCTGTAATGGATGAATCCCTCTGCCACATGAAACAATAATCAAGAACAAGAACTAGACGTAAGGGTCAAGCACACAAGAATCATAAATCAAGAACAAGAGCTAGAACAGAGAATCAAGAACAAGGTTTGAACAAAAATGATAATGAAGAATCAAGAGAACAAAGTCAAATAAAAAAACAAGAACAAGGAATTCAAGAACAAGAATAGGAGTAAGAGCAAGACACATAACAAGAACGAAAATCAAGAACAAGACATGATTTCAAGAACCAATTTAAGACAACACCAAAAAGTAAAATATATTTACCTGTATTTACAGAGACATTAGCCGGTGGCAAATACTGGTTAGAGCGCGGCGAAGAAGAACCTTTCTTTTGTTTCCTCCTAATGAAGAAAATGGCAGCGATAAAAATTACGGCCAACACACCTGCGATCCCAATACCAATCATTGTCTTCTGGGTGTAATTAGACTCATTACTTTGTTGGCCATTACCATCATTTCCGTTATTATTGGCATTATGTCTATTAGAGCCTCCGGAATGGTTATTGGAGCCGGAGAGGGAAGGAGGAGACGGGGAAGAGGACGACGAGGGTACACGATTTGATCCTCCTCCCGGGGGTGAGTCCAAGGGTTGTGAAGGGTTTCCAGGAGAATTAGGGCTTAGGGGAAGCAACGGAGGCAATAAAGATGACAATGGGGGAGACCCTTGACTGCCGGAATTTTCCAGAGACGGTGGCGAAAAGGGAGTAGAAGGCGGAGACGGAGGAGAAATAGGGTTGTTGATGGGTTGAAGTATGTTATCATCATTGGTTCTTGGATCCGGTAGCTGATTAACTAAGGAGGGAGGAGGAAGAAGAGAAGGAGGAGGGAATTGAGGCTTTGGAAAAGGAACCACCACCGGAGAATCTCCAGTTGGGGTGGATTGAGGCGGAGGTTGAGGCTGAGGAGGTGAAGGAGGTGGAGTTATAGAAGGTGGAGGGGAAGAAGGAGGCGTTGGAGGTGGAGGCTGATTCGGTGGTGGTTGAGCAGCTGTTGCCGGCGGGGGAGATGCTTGTGCGCCGCCACTGTCGGGGGATGGAGGAGAAGGAGGTGAGGTGGCTGGAGGTTGTGTCGTCTCAGAACCGCCGATGATTTTCTGATCAGTTAATCCTCCGACATTTGTTGGTTGTGAAGCTACAAACGGAGATATCGTCTTACCGATTAAATCTGCTTGTTGCTGGACTTTGTCCATTTGTCTTCACCTTATTTGCTTCTCCTTGTTTCTTTTCACATGTTTGTTTTTGATCTTAAAAAGGTTTCTTGTGGAACAAGAAAGGATCTAAAACTTTGGGATCCAAGCCAAACTGGGTTTGAATTCCGCTGATATCCAAGAAATTAAGTTTTAAAGATTGTAGCAGTTTCTCGAGAAAATATATTTATGAGATCAACACGATATTTGAAATTCACGAAAGAGATTTGGAAACAAAAATTCCAGGGCTACAGGGTTGCTTATGACTCAAGGAAGATAGGAAGAAAAGAGTTTTTTTTTTTTTTAATCAAGTCGATTCAGATTTTGTTTGTTGAGGATGAATATTTTTTCCTTGGATTTTTTTTGTTCTTTTCGTGTTTTTTGTGTAAAAATAGAAAGTCTCCCGAATGTCAACAGTTGAATTCTAAAAATTACTGAGAAAATAGGCTAAAAATTCACTTGATTGTTTTTTTTTTTTTTACAGTAAATAATTGTATGAAATAATAGTATCAATATCTGGAAGATTTACCATTCAGCTTCATTGTCGGAATGCCGCGTAAACTATTCTTTCTAAAAGTTTATTTTCTCCCATTGATATTTCTGAACAATAAAATTCACAGAATCCGGTTACATATAAATAATTCAAAGAAATGATTAATAAAATTTTCCAAATCACATCAACCATTTAAAAAAAAAGGATCAGTGACTTCTGTGACCGAACCCAGCTACCGGTTTGGGCATGTCACTCAGTGAGAGGCTGGGCCGTGTTACATAGCTTCCATATAGAGGCATCGGAAGGAGCGACGAGATATGGACCAAGCAACTACCATGCGTGCCTCCGGAGAGTTCTCTGTTAGGATTCCGGCAGAAGAGTAAACCAAATGATCACGGAGGTTTGGTGTTTAGAGATTGCAATGTGGAGACACTGTTCTGTGCACACGCCCTACGATGACGCTGGTTTCATCATGGAGTCTTCTAGATCATAATGATAGTTGCTCTATTATTATTGCAAGTTAAAATTTTATGAAAGAATCAAATAAAATTAATTTACTTTATGAAAACAAAAGATATGAATTTTTTACTCATTAAAAAAAGATGTCTTTTAGAGCCTAGAAGAATTCAAACATCCAAGAAGAGTAAGCAAAAAGGAGAAATGGTGACAGTTCAACATGAAACAAATAAATCAGGTCTTAAACCACAAGAAATCAAGTTGACTCCGGAGAAGAAGCTTTCAATCCCAACACCAAAACTCTCTGGTCGAGATAACCTCAAGCCTGCGAATCGAATAAAAGAAATAACCGAAATCAAATCAACACACAAACATCAAGATTATCAAACCCTAAGAATGCAATCAGATTCAGAGTGTATTCACAGTGTCAAAAAATGTTCATAACCTGAACTAAATAAACCTATCGAATCAGAATTCAGAAGTCTTACTTTGTTAGCAATGTTGTTGGAAAGCCAATCCAGACCTTCATAGAGCCCTTCACCGCTAGTTGCGCATGTGCTTTGTATGTACCTGATAAGAGAGAGCAAGCAATGTGTTTTCAGGTATACATGTATGCAATAGTAAATAACCAATCCTGTCTGGTATAAAATTAAAAATCACCAGTGGCGTTGCCGGAGTGAGTGAAGGCCAAGCTTATCAGTTATCTCAGCAGCATTCATTGCGTTTGGAAGATCTTGCTTGTTGGCAAACACAAGCAATACTGCATCCCGTAGCTCATCCTACAGTTACGAAGCATCAATAGGACAAAGCCTTACGGATTAACAAAAAATTTGTGTAGCATTAAGAACATACTTCATTCAACATCCTGTGAAGTTCATCTCTGGCTTCAACAACACGGTCTCTGTCATTGCTATCAACCACGAATATCAGACCTTGTGTGTTTTGGAAGTAATGCCTCCACAAGGGACGGATCTGTAAAAGAGAATAAGTGGATAACTGTTATCTCTTTCTTTTTAATCTTTTCGAGTCATATATAGTACAAACCTTGTCCTGACCCCCGACATCCCAGACGGTGAAGCTGATGTTTTTGTACTCAACCGTCTCCACATTAAACCCTGTTGAAACAAATTATTGATCAAGTCTCATTGTCTAAGCAAGTTAAATTCCAATCAGTAGTTTTCAACAGCAGCTGATCTAATACAATGCAATCTGGTCAGCCAATGAAGTCTGTTTTGAAGAAGACTTACCAATGGTAGGAATGGTGGTAACAATCTCACCAAGCTTGAGCTTGTACAAAATGGTGGTCTTACCAGCAGCATCAAGACCAACCATAAGGATTCGCATCTCCTTCTTGGCGAAAAGCCGGCTGAAAAGCTTTGCAAATGAAAGCCCCATTTTCCTTTTAACTGTTGATCCTGAAATGTTAAGAGATCACACACCATGATAAACAATTGAATCACCCTGCTTCTTGTTTTTCACTATTCCCTAAAATTCCTTGTTTTAGCAATAATGTTTACACCAAATGAGATCAAATGCATCTAACACGACAATCGAAAAATCCAACGTGACCTTCTCAATCTCATGATCCTTGAATCCACATAATAAGAGATCCATAGACTATACAGAAAGATATTGACGATATAAGCGATCACGATACACGATCGTTCAACGACAATGGCGTACAATCTAACGAATAACTCAGATCACCACTACAGAAGGAAAAAAAAAGACGAAACGAGATTCAATTTCTCCGAAACATCAAAACTCAGATACTTGTAAGGATTAGTTCATCAAGGAAATTCGAATGCAGATCCAGAAAAATCCGAAAGAAGGTAAGACGATCTGGAGAGTTTTTGGAGCTTACCTTTCGAAAATTGAAGGCGAGAGAGATGCTTCAAAGACGTACTATTGACTGATGGATGATTTCTGTGATTGAAAAATGAAAATTCTACTTTCACTAGCACCCTCCTATTTTTGTTTAGTATATAAAAAGTGCCCCAAAGTATACATTTTGTTTCAAATTAACCCCTCGTATATGTAAACTGCATTCCATGTCCTTTAATTTTGACTTCATATGTCATATCATCCCCCAATCTATGTGATTTTGTTGGATTATGGCATTTTGCATCCATTTAGTAAACACCTGCTTATGATTTTCCTTTTCCAGCTTATCTCTAGCCCATTTCAAAATAATGCTGATGATCAGCACTTGGTTGTTTCTGGTTAATAAAGTGAGGCATTTAAGTAGCAAGATACATCATTTTTAATATCTAAACCGTAAATTCGTATCAAGTAGTAGTAGGTTTTATAGGCTAAAGAAAGATGATATACATTAATCTACATTTTTTTACTTGCGGAATCCGTCAACACACATCGTGATCGGACTGAACTTTGTTTCTTGGGGGCTTCCCAATCTGCAAACAATCAATGGGAGGAAGAGTAGGAGTGTTGAGCTCTCCAAATGTCTGCCAGCAATAAGCGTCTGACATATGATACTTTTCTTGAACCGGTTTAAGCTCTATCGAAGATAACTGCACATCTACACACGGGAAGTTATCGCTACAAGCGAAATGCACCGGTTTCACGGTGTAGGTTCCTTTTATCCTCTCGTAAGTCACTCCTTCCACTGCAACTGCTGATGTCTGGTTCTTGCATTTGCTATGGTCACAGTAGAATTGGTCTATCATTATTGGAATCTGGACTTCGTTGAGCTGAATGTTTGAGAAGATTATCCCTTTCACTGATCCTACTCCTCCTTGCCATGTCTTGATCCTAACACCTGTCATTGTGTTGTGCATAGCCACGTCTCGCACTGTTATGTTGGAGACGCAGGCTTTTGTGCCTTCTTTGCCGAGACTACCAATGCTGATCCCGTGCCCCGGTCCACAGTTCACATTGTGCACATACACATTCGAGCAACCCGTTTGGATCGAGATACAATCATCTCCTGCACACATACATAGAGAGGAGACACCATTAATCCAAAATTCAAGATCATTCAAGATTTCAAGATTCAAGAATCAAGATTGGAGATCATACCGCAAGCAAGTGTAGTACTGTGAATGAGGACATCTCTGGTGTTCTGGAGGTGAATCCCATCAGTGTTTGGACTGTCACCAGGTGAAGACACGGCTATGTCATGCACCACAACCCCTACGCAGTCGTCGAATTTGAGATGACACTGAGGACTGTTTTGGATCGTTATACCCGTCACTTCCACGCCTAAACTCCCAGAGAATCTCAATGCCTAAAATAAAAACCAGAAACAAAAGTCAGTAAACAAACCAATGCTTAGAATCTCACAATACCAAACTCTTTTTTGTTTTTTCATTTCTCACCGTTGGTTTAATGCTTGGCATTCTCCCATCAAGCTCACTTCTTATCTGTCAAATGTGAAACAAAACAGAGTTTGATCTTAGATGAATATTGTGTGAATGAGACAATGAAGAAGACAATGAATTTACCGGCACTGGAGGGTTTTGGTGAACAGAATTGTTCAAAGGGATGATGAGTTTGGTTTCACCATCAATGAAAGGATCATCTTGTTGCCACCAACCAGAGCCTCTTCCATCAATCACACCTTTACCTTGTACTTTAATTCCTTTCAGCTTTGTGAAATCAATCCACCACATTAACCCTTTTCCCCATGTCTTTGAATCCGTTGGAGCTATGATCGTACCATCAAGCTGCAAAATTCACAACAAAGTTTAGAATTTTTTTCACTAAAGTGATACACTTTTTCTATATAAAAGATCAATTCTCACCTGAAACACAATGTTAGCTTGACAATAAGGACCAGAGAATGAGATCGGTCCAACAAGGTAAGTGTATTCAGGCGGTACAAGCATCATCGATGCTTCGATTTTGCAAGCCGCTGCCCAAGCCGCTTCAAACGCCTGAATACATTATGTAGCTCTGTTAATTATTTCATTAACTAAACTTAAAACCACTAATCACCATTTGTTATACAGAGCAACTCTATAGTTATGGACTTATGGTTATCAAGGCTTGTGAATTGTGGTCCCATTTGTAATCTGTTATTTCTGTTGTCACTTTATATTCGTTTGTCTTTTGTTTTTTGGCGCATTTTAACATTGGAGATAGAATAAATAAAAAAGCTACGTGACTTTACAGAAACAGAAATCTTTTTCTGAGCTCTGTTTTTCTCTTGTTCTGTCTCGTGATGTCTCAACTGTATTTGTCTTTTTTTAATTCTCATGAAAACGAAATACTAAAAGCTCTAATTAATCAAATACAGTCAACCACTAGGATTGAAAACTGTACGGGTAACGAAATTAATGAGCTTTTCTATTGTACCTTAGTGTCATCACATTTGCCATCACCCTTTGCTCCAAAATCCATCACATTGAAAACTTGAGATCCCTTTTGCGGCGGAAGAGGCGGTGGTTGGACTTTTGGTGGCCGTGAAACCACCGGAGAGTTATTGTCGCTAGATTTTGGCGGCGTTTTCAGCTTTGGTTTTGGTTTAGGTTTAGACTTGTGGTGATGGTTGTCGTTGTGGTGGTTGTGAGAACTGTGGTGGTGACTGTTCCCATGGCTCTTTGGTTTCTTGCTTGACAAGGAATCAGACAAGTCAGAAGAGCTTGGGTGGCTATGTCTCCAATGTCTTCCTCTTCTGGCAATGCAGGTCTCTAGAGTCACTGACCAGACCAAAACAGCCATTAATATCATCATCGTGATGCTTCTCAGACTTAGACTTCTTCTCATTATCATTTTTTGTTGTCTAAAAGAAGAGTGTTGTGGTGGTTGAAGAAACTAAAAGACTTTGTTTTCTGGTTTCGGTTGAAGAAAGAGAAGGTTTTTTAATGAGATTTATATAAGGAAGTAGTCCAAGAATGTAGAGAGGCTCACGGGTTTTCAAAATGGAATTTTATTTTAAAAAGATGGAAAACGAAATTGAATCAATGGTGTCCTTTATTTTCCATATTGTTGATAAGTAATTAATTAAAAAAAATTACTAAACAAATGAATAGATCTAAGCTACGTACAAGTTATCCATAATGTTTGATTTTAGTAGGATATTTGTTAAATAATGTTGATATTGACAGTGATGTAAAGTGATTACTCGTGAATTAGTATTTGGAGCTTAGCTCATGGGTAACTATGCCAAAAGTAAAAACCAAATCAGAGGTTTTTTAACCATAGGTAAAAGTGCAAGTCTTACCCGAATCAGCCAAAACCTGAATTGTGGAGGAACTGAGAAAGTAAATGAGTCAGGGGTGATGATACACTGATATGTATACCACGTGGAAACTAATGGTTGGTTAAAAGCTCATCTAATTCGGTTGCCAGGACTTCACATAATTACATAGATAAACACATGTATGTGCCAATGACTGTTGTATAGGAGCACCATGAAGTGGGGATACTTAAAATGAGGTGTATATTCAATTTTAGGATCTTGCTTTTTGTTTAATTTGGATATAGATGGGTACAAGCATGTGTGTATGTAATACATGCATGTGTTAGATCTGTCGTATTGGCATGATTAGAGTGTCGTATGATTTTCATATTTACTGTGGCTGTGTGGTGTAGGAGAAATTACAAAAAAATGTATTATTTTTAAAAATGCATGTTACAATCATTTTTTTAAGAACACTGTGTTTAATGAAGAGTCATTTGACGAGTGTGGTGAAAAAATATTCCAACTGACGATGGATTAGAAAATCTGAATTCTAGTAAAATAAAATTACTCATAAAAATAAGCAAAACACAATAATTAATTCAAGTTATTGTTAGATTTTTTCAAAATTCATTTCATATGTAGTTTGTAATCTGGTCGCAACATTACATATTAGCTATTAGGATCCCTAGTGGATAATTAATCAAAAAACCAAGAAAGAAGTGGATATCAAAATCTCAAAACTAGATTCAAGAAAAAGAAAGGACAGAATTGAAAGTTTGCTGAGAAATACTCTGTCTCATTATAATTTTCTTAAGAATTTGATATATAAAATACTAAATAATATAGTGATATATCATATATATATATAAGAATATATATATAAAACGAAAGAGACTCGTGAGTGGGTCTATATGTTGTCAATGGGGCACTGATTATAACATTTCTTTTAGTACTCACATGCACTACTTCACGGGCATTGCTTTTGTATTCACAACTCCTCCAATTATTATTTATTATTTAATTATTTCTCTCATTTTTACTATTATATATTTTATTTTCGAATCCATTGTAGATGAAATTTCATTTATTATTCAAGAAAAAAAGACTGCTATTAAAGGAAGGAGCAGAAACAGAAAACAGAAAGTAAACGAAGCTTGTTTCTTTAGGTCCTCATATTTTTCTTTCTTAGTTTTTTCTCATATTTGTATAATACACCAAACTATAATGAGAAGTTGAAACAAAACGTTGTCGGCATTGTTTTTCTTTTCTTTCTTCACGAGCTGTCGGCATTGTTTGTGAATGATAATTTGTTTCTTATTTAGTAGTATATCAAATAGCTAAAGACTTTGATCGGCAATATTGTGCTGCATATGGTAATCGAGAAATCATATTTTGAAATTGAGTGAAACATATTAAATGGATTTGATGATTAACATTAGTAAAAGAAAACCAAGAAAATAAGATGATTTTTGTGAAATGATGGAATATATCGTAAACTTTACATAGAGAGAGACATGAATCTTTAAAATATATAATTAAATAACATAACAAACTTTTGCCCAAAAATAAAATAAAAAATAAATAACATAACAAAAAAAATATTAGTTCATAACGGAAATTTATTAGAAAAAGTTCGTACATATCACTATAGTACTTTACCAATTATTTATGTTTGGATGAAAAATACACAGTCTGGTAGTTGTATCTGGTTTTGATCCATAAATTACAAAAACGAAAAAAAAATAAAAGTTTAAGAAAAAAAAAATAGTATGATGTTTCTTAGAATACTTTGAGTCTTTGATGATCAAATCATCAATAAGCCAGAAAAGCCAAATAGAAAAATAGAGGGTTCTCGGATTAGAGTTTATATGTGGTTAATTTTCAATTATGATCAGATTATTCGAAACTAAGTTTGTGTTTGTAGTGAGTATGGCTACTGTTTATATGTGATTTCAGGGTTTCGTTTAGGCATTATGAGAAGTTGACTGAACAGGGAAAAAAAAAATTGGATACTTGTTCACCAGATCTGTTGGGTTCAAACTATTTAACAATGATTGCCTTTAATAAACAAATTAAATTGTCAAATTTATAAAATCAAAATAATCTAAGTGAAAGTCGACTTGGTTTTTTTTTTTTTGTCAAAGTCGAATTGTTAAGTAGAGAATATCGAATATTTTAAATGCAAATAAATGCTTGATTTTTTGTATGAGAATACTTGAATCTTACCTTCACTTGTAAAAATTAGCTATGAGTCAGAGCTAATAAGAAGACATTTGTTGATATATATATATATATACATTTGCAATCATCAAGCATGTACGGATCAGCATAAACCATCTTTGGGATTCAGGAAAAGCTTTGTGCGCTCATAGTTTTACACCATTTCTCTGTCAAGTAAAAATTAATCATAGAGAAATAAATACAAAAGAATGCTAACTTCCACTGTTGTAATTAAGGAGAGAAAAACAAAAACTAAGTACTTTTTTGTCATGACAGAGAAAAAATTACTAACTGTACTGTATTATTTAATTTCCATCCTGAATTTTTAGAATTATAATCTTCATAAATTATAAGTTGCTAATCATTCATTTACTATTCTGCAATAGTAAAATATCATGTGATGAACACACATATATGTTATTCGACAGAGTCCTCTTCTTGACAGCCAAAAAGCTGTTGGCTATGTAGGAGTATTTCTGATTCTTCAACTTATTAAAATAAAAAACAAAACATTGTGACAAAAATATCATCACATGAAGCGTTGATCTTGGTAGTTACTAAACAAATATTCCAATCAAATTAAAATGGGGATTTTTTTTTATCTAACAAGGTAAATTACAATGTGTTGTCGGATGATATACGAAACAGAGAGGATTAAATTAAGATTAATACATTGTTTCATAATAGTTTAATATTTTTGGTTGTTGGCTATTGTATCAATAATACCTATACGAATTTTTGTCAAGGTTTATTATTGTGTTGCTTATGCTCAAATACGATCTTGCGTGCACACATGTTTCCTAATGATGATCATATACCAGCGATTATCAATATAGACAATAGTCGCAATAATGTTATTTTATACGGTCACGGTACACGAAGAAACATGTAAGTTAAGATCGTTTTCGTTAAGTTTAATTAAATTTGAAGGTATATATGGTCAGAGAGACAAGAGACTTGTTGTCTTCGTTACTGAGATTACAGGTAGTTTCAGTTTTACAAACGCAGCATACATATATAGGTCCAAATAGATGCCTCTAAACGACCCTCTTTTTCATTAAGATTATCGATAATGCCACTATTCATTGTTGCACGAGACAAATAAGTACAAACTAAGCCTTATTTATTTCAATACTTTTTTTGTTATAAGGAAAGAATCCTGAAGGATCAAGAGATGTGTCAGACAAAACATTTATTAAAACTATGCCTAAAGCTAACGTTGCATTTATAAAATCAAAGACTTATAGGTGGACCTAACATGTTGCCTATCTTTGTGACTTTGTTGTTGTTGGTGCTCTTAGTTACGAAGACGAGACGGTAAAAACCAATGTTCAAAATCTTCTTCAACATATATTACTCATTTGCAAACTATTTGGAGTCTAAAATGTTTAGGCGTAGATACTGTCTCTGATCTATTACAGTATCCTTAAAGTAATTTAAAAACTATAATCATATTACACATCTATTTAAACCGATTAATCAGTCAACCGTATATGGTATGTGAATTATACAAGAATGGCTTTGATTATGTTCCATTACATGATAACGTGCAGTACATTGCAAAATCTAAATTATCTGGCCATGTAATTAATGTATATACTGCAGGTTATACTCATTAAACCTTTAAAGAGATGATCTAGAAATACTATATACGTGGATGCTTATAAATCTTGTTTTAGATTATACTTTTACGTATACAACCATCATACACAGAATAAGTCAAGAATCGATGTGACAATTATATATGTCTATAATGTATAGATAATAATATGGACGAATCTGTAAGGTGCACGAGAGTTTTGTAATTATTAGAACTGTAATAATAACAAAAATGTATGCCCTTTGACTTCACAGCTCGACTCTTTATGGTCTCGTGCCAATCTATCCTTTTTAAAAACCAAACTTATATTTTGTGGACCGTACCATTCATCTGATACGCCAAAAACTATAGTTACCTGTCTTCTACGTTTTTAATTAAATTCACGCATTTGACAAAAGAAAAAATCACGCACATTTGACGTATATTATAATTATGATCATACACGTAGTCACAAAGTGGGAATAAATTTTATATATATACTTGAAGAATCGATCGGAGAAATCGACGAAAATATATTAATATGATTGAAATGATATTGTATACTCCCTCAAGTTGCTTCTTACTCCACTTATCTTTAATTCTTTATCAACATATGATATCAGGCAAAAAGCAACAAATTATCTAGTGTTTAAAGGATATTAGAGGCAGAAGCCTTGCCAAATTATCTAGTGTTAATCCACCAGTTGATACGTTTCTATATTAGTCTCGCAGTTAGAAAAAAAAAAACTTTTAATATTATTTTTTAAAGTAAAATATATTTTCCATGTATGTGGCTATTGTTTATTTGTTTTTGGATTAGTTAACTTTTGTTTTATCTTTTGGCTTTACGAAAACTAAAGG